TGAGATGGGAGCCTCTGCACTGAGAAGTGTATCTGTGGCTCTTCTGCAAATCCTCCTCCCTCAGATAAACACCGAACCAGCGCTGTGAAAAACTTCAGTCAGAGACACAGAAGCCCACTGGGAAAAGGAGGGGTGAAAAGGAAATAAAATAGAAATGTCCTATCACCCTTCCAGAGCTGTCGCTGTGATCTGGCGGGTCTGGATCGTGGACACAAGGCAACCCAGTGTGTGCCAGCTGTGTGTGGTCACAGCAAGCACGCAGCCAGACACAATGTCCACGCTGGGACAGAGGAATTCACAAACCTACTCCAAGGGAAGGGGGGGGCGGAAGTAATTAATGCAAATTCCTAGTTTAGGTAAACACATCTAGAGAAAGCTCGCTCTGGCATGGGGAATTAATATCCTGTTAAACCAGTTGAAAAGGTCACCAGCAATCAAGCGACACTCCCGACACTCCCTCGTGCCAGCGCTGACAGGGCACCAAGACAGAGGGTTGAGAGCAGGGAGCTGGGAGCTCTGGGAGCTGGGAGCTCTGTGCAGCATCGCCTGCCAGCGTGCAGCTGCAGCCGGCTCGGCGCGCGTGCAGACGTGTTCTCTGCAGCCACACTCCCTCCACAGCACTTCTGCACTAATATCAACAGCCCTGGGCCTTGGGAGAGCTGCTCCGCTGCCTTCACACAGCCCCAGGGAGGAGTGGCAGAGCACACAAAAGCAGCCAGGGGTGTTGGGTTCACGTCAGGTTTGCCGAGGCGATCACGGCCCTGCTTGGGTTCGCTGCCTCCAGGGTGGGGTGAATTTAGACCATTCAGAGAACGGGTTGTATAAATTAAGAGACAAGAAAGGAGATTCACACTGGTCCCTTCAGAGTGGGGGCCCACCTGCCCTGGGGAGGCCTCCCTACCCATGTGTCTCTGGTGCTGCTGGTACAGACGTTCCAACACAAGACCTTCAAAAGGACATGCTGGGACTGAAAGCCTCGAGGTGATGCTTCAACAGCAAGAAAGAAGAAAGGAAAGAATAAAATAGCTCAGGACACACCACTCAATTTCATCTTCAATGGAAAACCTGAAGCACAGAGGAGCTGCTGGCAACTCACATCTCTGCAGGCACAGAAGTGGGTCTCTGGCTGCAGAGGTGTGAAAAAAAGGTGAGAGCTGCCAAGAGACAAGAGAGACGGTGAGAGGGAGCACCAGGGCTGTGACAGCCTTGGGTCAAAATGCACTGAGAATGAGCCACACACCACATGTGGAGCTCTGCACTCTGCAGCTCCTCTAAGAGTGCAGAGCCTCGGGGGTGCTTTCCCTTCCTTCCCATCAGGAAAACCCAGCTCCTCTCCCAGTAGACTCAGGAAAAGAAACCACCAGGGCTGCATGCATTTCCTGAGGCCCACAGCGAATAGAACTTAAGGAGAGGAGCTGAGTGAGAGCTCCTGCCCCTCTCCACACACTGCAGCTTCTGCAAATGCTTCTCTGGGAGTAATTCTGAAATTAGTGCTCTAAGTCAACCCTCACAGCCAGGATCTGGTCTGATTTAGCAGGGAATGGAGTCAAGCAACTTCAGAGTCCAAACCCTTTGAATTTTGCTTTTCTTAAACAAACACTTTGCAAAGAAAGGGCATTTTCAAATGCCCTTGTTCAGCAAGATAGCCCTGTGTCTTGCACAGAGGAGCTGCAAAGTCCAGAAGGACTCCAGCTGAATTTGTCTAAATCCACATGGAGAACCTTATACTGTGCTAAAAATGCTATTTTCTGGTTAAAATGCTGCTTTCCAGCCCCAAGATGAGCCTTGCTGTTAAGTCTATTTCTTGTGTGAAATGGAGCCGCTGGAACAGGATGTTACTCACAAGTGCTCACGGGTCTAAGTGCAAGAAAGGCCAGAATACCGCAAAGGAGCTTGGATACACATGGATTCTCTCTCAAAGATAGAAAAATTTAGTTTCCCTTCAATTTGGCAGCAGGAGTGGAAAGAGGAAGGTCGTGATGAGGCTGGGGTGGGGTGTCCCTGTAGGGCAGCAGAACTGGAGACCCAGCAGTGGCTGCAGACACCCCAGGCCTGCACTGCACAGAGGGTGCTCACAGCATGGCAGGATCCTTTAGCAGGTGCTGGATAGATCTGGCATGACCAGATGAAGAAGGCTTTACCCTTTGTCTTTTAATCACCCAGCTGAGGAATCGCATCACAAACACCCAGCGACTGCAGCCCTGACCCCTGGCATCTCCTGCCCAAGTCCTGGAGGGAAAAGACAGCCCAGCTCCCTGGAATTATGGGCTATGTGTTTGCACAGGATGCACCCAGTCTGGTCAGTGCCAGGCACCTGTGCAGGATCAGGCCCCTGGGAGGCCCTGCTAGCCACAAGGCCACAGGGACTGCGAGGCAGGAGCTTACCCAGCAGAGCCTGGAAGAGTTCACTTTGGAAGATGTGCGAGACCTTTCCAATGGAGGCTTTTAGCTCCTGCTCCTCCGGGGACCGCAGGGTGCTTTGGTATCTGGTCAGAATTTCCACTGCCCGTTCAGTGTCTGCAGAGACGACACAGGAATAACAAGGCATTAACATTGACGAATGTTAAGGAAAGGCTCAAGTGCAGGCTTGAATAAATGCCTCCAGTTGCCGCCCAGTTTGGATTTTTAAGAACCAGGCAGCCACAAAAGTAGCCTCCTCACTCACACCTGGAAGAGCTAACCCTGCTGAGAGGCACAGAGGGCCCATGGTGGAGAACTGGGTAGGGGTTGGAGGGGAGGTGGTTCTGCCAGAAACCCTGAAAATCACGGGCTAAAATCAGATCAGTTCACCTCTGAACCCTGTGGCACTGGCAGCCTGAACACCTCTGCCACCTCCCAGGCAGAGAAGCCATTCAGGAGCTGGACACATCCCGGTTGCACAGGGCTATGAATATTACTGCAGGAGCTGCAGTCTCCCACGTGGGGCCAGATGGCTGCAGCAATGCTGAGTGTAGGCCCATTCACACAGTGCAAACAGCTCAGCTCCATGAGTGGCGAAATTTGGGTTTCTACAGGGTAAAGCGTAAGAATTGCTCAACGCAGCAAGCAGCTGTGGGTCAGCAGGAGACAAGTGGGAAAGGAACACGATGCCTTGGGGTCAAAGGAGATGCTGGCCAGGAGGGGAGCTGGAGGCTGCCATGAAGCAATGAAACTTTGATTAAAGACTGGGCTCACATAGCTATGAGAAAACCCTGGACCTGAAATAGTGGAGCTTTGATCTCTGTGCCTGGACACCTCCATGCTTCTCTGGGCAGACAGCCAGAGCTGCCAGTGCAGCCCCAAGCTCAGAGGTGACCCACATCTCAGGCAGGTGGGGAGCTTCTGTGGACCTTGAGACCATCCCAGCCCTATCAGTGGATGTTTCCCTTTGTCACCCAGGCAGCCTGCAGACAAAGAGCGTCTGTGTGAGGAGGCAGAGAAGCTGTCCCGCCACTGCTGGAGACTCATCTTTTAAGCCAGGAACTCATGCAGAAAGGATGACCCTGCTCATCACAGGGCTCTTGGCAGAGAATTCAGGTCATCAGACAAGGGGGCCTGTGTCTGCTAGGGTGTGTGCCACCTGGTATCCCAGCTCGCCCAGCCTCCCAGCTCCTCCTCGGCCGAAAGGGAAAGGGGGTCCTCCTGCCTGTGTCCCCAGCCCACACTGACTCATCGTGGGAGCAGAACAAGGAAAGGAGTCTGGGGAAGCGTGAATAGCTCCGACTCAGAGCTGGGCTCCACGAAAAGCAGGGACTTCCCTAAGCTTTATGGGGATCCTAGCCCTGCGCTATCACTAAGAGCTTCCTTTTCTGCAAGATAAGACAGTGGCTTCAGACACTGCCCAGCATCCCATGAGCAGGATTGAGACATCTCTGCCTGGTCATTCCTAACCTTATTTGTAGAAGCTAAAGAACCAGATGAAGAACTGAGGCCACCACACCAGGACACAAAGACTGCGAACCTGGTGTGAACTTCCCACCCCGGTCCAGGCTGTGCAGAAAGAGCACCCTGCACCCTGAGCTGCTGTGGCCACCAGCACTGGGTGACAGCCGGCTAGGGCAGGGGAGCACTGGCTCTGGACAACCAAACCTGGGGAAGTGTTGTGCACATGGCATGGCGGTGAGTCCGGAGGACCCTTCTTACAGCACCCAAGAAAGACCACGTGTTGTCCAGGGCCCATCCCACCATGCCTCAAGGTGCATCCAAGCCCCACTTACAGAAGATCCCTCCTCGCAGGACCCACACCCCCACGCCCACCCTCCTCCCCGCAGCACCGAGGGGCTGTGCGAGCGCGGCATCCCACGGCGACCCGCTCCGAGCCACGAGGACACGTCCACAGCCCGAGAAGGGCGTGAAGCGAGGGCGCCCCGTCCTCGGCTCTTAACCCGTGGCTTGCACGGCCGCCCGCAGCGGGGAGCGAGGGCGGGAGCTGCCCGGCAGGGGCGCCGAGCCCCGGGCGCGGTCCCAGCGCCGGCACCGGCGGGGCGGACACTTGTTGAGCGCGGGGGGCGCGGCGGGCAGGGCAGGGCAGGGCAGAGCAGGGCAGGGCAGGGCAGGGCCGGGCAGTGCCCTCCTTACCTTCCCGGCGGATCATCGCTCCGCCGTGGCCGACGGGCCGCTCCGCTCGGTGCCAGCCCGAGAGCGGCCGAGCCGCCGCCCGCCCCGCCCCGCCCCGCAGGGACCGGCCGGGAGCCGCCCCCCGCCCGCCGGCACCGCCTCCGGGAGCGCCCCGGCGGAGGGAGCGCCCGCTGCCCCGCCCCGCCTCGGAGCCCGCCGGGCTGCGGGGAGGCTCGGCCGGAGCCCCGGGAGCCCCGCCCGCCTCGGCCTCCCGTCCCTGCCCGCTGCGGAGGGCCCGGCCCGCCGGCCCCGGTTCCCGGTGCGGGCACTAGGTGGCACGGAGACGCCGCCGAACGCGCCCGCCCCGGGCCGGCACCGTCCGGGCTGCGCCCGCCCCTGCCCCGCGCCGGCAGCGCCTCCCGCAGCCGTGCCCGCCGCAGCCCTGCGGGGTCTGTCTGCCGCTCCTCTGCTTTATTGACATAAATAGGCAGCAACAAGTAAAACTGACAGGAAAAACTGACATGTTGCCACCCCCCGACCCCCTTTCCGTGTTCCAGGCCCTGCTGCAACGTGTCTTGATGCCGAGTCCCATCGCTCCCCTCTGCAGCCTTGGAGCCGCAGCAGCAGTGTGATTGTGATCCCGCCAGCCCCAAACACGCCCCACTCCCAGCCCTGCTCCTTTTCCCCCCCAGAGCAACAGGCATTAACTGCTGCATGGAGTGCCGGGACCCTGGCCCATAAGCATGAAGCCAGCAGGGGCAGGATTTGTGTCCAGCATGGGGATGCAAAGAGCTCAGCTCCCCCTCCGTCTTGTGAAAAGCCACCCCACACCCCATTCTCTACTCCTCAAGCCAGAGGAACAACACGAAAACCAGGTGTCCTTGAGTGGCTGCAGTGCCACTGCAGTGACGACAGGTAGAGACTGCCCCTGCACCAGTGACCCAAAACCCCACTAGTGTCCAAACCGCAAGGCAGAGGTCTCAGCTCCAACTCTGCTGGATAAGTATTCCACCCTAGGCAATCCCTGCAAAGCTTTAGTTCCTCGCTGCCAATGGGAAATGGGAACCCAGTTCCAAGTCTTTTCAGCTGAGGGCAGCTGTGTACCACGAAAAGAGCCAGGAAGGCTACGGGAGAAGTGAGGCTCAGGAAGGAGCCTGCAAAGGAAAGGAGCCTTGAAGCTGGCCTGAGGAGCGCTCCCCGCTTGAGCTGTGCAGGGCTGTGGCTGCCCCTCCCCACGGCTGACGCAGGCAAGAGGGGTCACTCTTGCATCAAGCTGTTGATCTTTGTGAGCAGCACATCCGTCTCAGACTCTGAGGAGAGAGAGAAAAAATAGTCATCGTGGGCAGCCAGCATCCCCTAGCAACAGGCGGAGCGGCCTGAAAAGCAGGTTTGAGGAGACTTGGGAAACGTGGGATTCCCCAGAGTTGTCCCATGGGGCTGTTTGCTAAGGGCAAGGCAGGAACTCCCTGGGCTGGGATTCCCTTCCCTCCCCCAGCCATCCCAAACCACTCTGTCACGTTTGGCTGGAGAAAGCAGCCTGGCTCCCAGGGAGGGGAGCTCTCATCCCGTGCGCACTCACCCGCTGGCCGTCTTCTGTGGGAGCATTTCCTAGGAGATGGAATAGGATCGATGTTAGCATGCAAGTCTGGCCTCCCGCTTCCCTCCTCTGAGCTGCCAGCTGGAGGCTGTGGGGCCCCAGAGTTCCACGAGGGATCTGCTCTCAGTGCATGCAGCACTGGTAAAAAGGACCAGGGTTCCCCAGCCCATCAAGCCCCGGGTACAGAGTGAGTTAGGAAGTGTGAACTAAGGCATTCAGCAGCTTGAAGCAGGGTCAGGGCAGATTTTTAGCTGCAGCCTGGGGATAAAAGCTGCCTCCACACACTGCACTGTTTTAGCCAGACAGGAGAGGAACACCCCAGAATCTGAGTCCAGAGGGGGTGGCAGCAGATACAACCAGGTTTGGATATGTACCAACCACCCAGGGCACACTGTGACGTCCCCCAACAGACCTGCCTCAGGAGGGGGAAAGAGATCAAACCTACTTCAGCAAGAGGAAGGCCCAGAGGATGGTAAGGAAGGAAACGCAGTCTACAACGATCCAGATCATGAGATATGTGCTGCTGGGCTGCAAGGCAACGAGACAAGCCACTGAACACCAGCTAGGGGTGGTGTACTGGTGGCACAGCCCAGCCTGCTGTGCCACCAGTCTGTTCTACAGGGTCACCTGCTCCCATGCCAGTACAGCACTGGGCAGAAGTCACCCTCCAGGAAGCTGGCTGCACAGGGCTGCTGCAGAAAGGGACCCACAAGTGCCTGGGACACAGGGCTGTGGGGCGGGGTGAGGGATGGTGGGGTTACTTACAAGCAGCCAGATGGGTTGTTTCATTTCCTTCAGCACCTGGCAGGCATTGGTGGTGACAGAGCTCACCCCAGAGCACCAGAGCACGGAGAAGAGCCAGGGCTGGTTCACCACATATAGGTTGACAGAGATGTTGTCCTGGCGGTACTGCCTGCATGGGGACAGCCGTGGTCAGAGGAGCAGACAGCAGGGTGCCATCACACTCCACCTACAGCCAGAGAGGACTGTACATCTGGGATATGATCCAGCATTTTCAGCCACGTGGAGTGACTGTCTGGAGATCCAGATCCCAGGCAGATTTGCTGGCAAGGCAGAGGACTGCAGCCAGCTCCATCCCCTGCACCAGCCCAGCCTTGATAAGGCACGCTTGTCCACGAGACACTCACCCAGCTCTTTCTAGCAGCACACTGGCACTCAGCCTCAGCTGGCACTCACCTCTGCTGACCCCTGGGACAGTGCTGGGATGGTGCCCAGACCCCCACAGCTCCCAGGCCCTTGGGCAAAGGGTTCTCACCTTATCTCCTCAGAGCTCATGTCCTGGTAGGGCAGATTGACATGCAGTAGCGGCTCCTTCTCATTCTGGAGTCTCTTCCGGCCATAGACTTGCTGAACACCCGGGGCTTGCTGTTTGACCTGTTCCCTGAACCCGTCGGGAAGCCAGAGGACCTAGGCAAGAGCCAGAGGGCACATGCAGAGGACAGGTGCTCCAGGCAGTTTGCTCTCTTCCAGTATTTCCTTGCAGGTTCAGGCACACATGGCCTGCTTAGACAGCTGCTCCCTGACCCCAACCCCATGCTCAGCTCCTCCATGAGGATCTCAGCCAGGACAGCCTCCTATGAGCTTGGCCCAGCCAAGAAGAAAGCACAACAGACCCCACTGAGGTGAGAGAGCAGTTCCAGCCTAAGAAAGCTGCAGCAGCTATGTCCTTTCTGGGTCCTTGAATGGATCAAGCAGGGCATCCCTTTTAGCCCCAACTCTGCATCAAGAATGCACCTTGGATCAGCATTATAGTAGAAGTCTTTGCTATGTCCCCTCCTGCTCTACATACCCAAAAAGCCAAGGAAGGGAGGCAATTTGAGTGCTAATTCATCCCCTAAGGGCAGCAAATATTCTGTGCTGCAGAGGTTGGATGAAACATAAAGGGAACACAGGAGGTTGCAGCAGAAGTCCAAGAGCTGCAGGGAGAGGTGTGGTGCAGTGGGGGGAGGTGGAAGCCTCAGCATTGTACTCCTGCTCACGCTGGCAGTGTTGGTCCCCTCCCTAGACTGAGTCATTGTTTACACACCAAGGTGGCCAGTGCTGAGAAACCAAAGTATTTGGAGGGGTCTGAAGCTATAGGCATTAAACTGTAATTGCTGGCAACTTCTCCCAGCTAGAGAACCCCACACCCAGACAGGGCTGCCCAGCAGGGATCACCTATGGGGATGTGGTGTACGGGGTGTCAGGGATGCTCAGCGAGCCTGGCAGGGCACCTCCCAGCATGGCAGGGGTGTGACAGCAGGGCCTGGCAGCGGTGAGGTGGTGACCAGCTCACCTGCTGTAGTGGGATGCCGGACTGTAAGATCACTGCCAGGGTGGCATTGACAAAGCTCTGGTAGTCACTGTGGTTCTCAGGCCGGAGGTCGAACATGATGGAGATATTGCTCTGCTTGGCTGCCTCGAGGGCCTGTCCCAGGGAGGGGATCCTCTGTTTAGTTGCCTGGTGGCGATCACCAGCAGAAAGACTCGGCACGGTGGGAAACGGGCTCCGCTGCAAGGATGAGAGAGGGTGAGGCACCACAGGCAGAGCCCCTGTAAGCTTCCACCTCCCAGACTGGTGCCCATCTATGGCTCTCAGTTTCCTGCACTGGCCTCTCCACGTGCTCTCCAGTGCAGACAGGCACAGGGATCCTTCCTATACACAACCATGTGGTACCTCTACCCTTCTTCCCTCTAATAGCACAGTTCAAGCAGGCCCAGCACCTGTGGGCATTCAAAGCAGCCCGGCAGTAGTTAGTCACCTTTTGGGAAGAGCCTTGCCACAGCTGCCTTCAAGCCCAGGCAGGCTGTGCAGCTCAGAGCAAACACAAGACATCTCCCCTCAAACCAGCCTTCTCTGTGACTCAGTTGAGGAGTCAGAACAAACCCCAGCTTGGGGCATAACCGCACCCAAGGGATTTGTGCAGGCTTCTGCACCCTGTCCAGGTGTCTGCCAGGACCAGTGCTCCAGAGAGAAGGTTCTGGAGCCCCAGGGCAGGGCTAATGCTTTGCCCACAAATGCACCCATCCCTCTCCAGCCACCTGTAGGGCATCCTGACCTCCAGAAACCAGCTGCCAGCATCCAACTGCTGGAGGTCTGTCCAGTTGAAGGCAGTGCTGTTCAGGGCAGCCCTCTCAGGGAACACAGCCTGCACATTGGTGGTCCTGGTGAGTTCCTCATCATGCATGAGGAATGGGACTCCATCAGCACTGGCAAAGGAGCAAAGGAGCAGAGAGTGAAGCTGTTTTTTTATTGTAAGCTGTTTGTCTCCTATCCTTGCCCTGGCATTTCTGCCCTCTCCCAGCCACCTGCTAGGGTAGCCCCCAGCATTACTCTACTTCTCCTTTACACAAAAATGTGACCGTCCAGAAAGCACAGAACACCTAGAGACCAAGCCAGGAACCAAGCAGTTCCCTGCTCTCTGCAACAGCTGTTCTCCATAGCAGGATTACATGAGATGAACTAGAGCCAGGCTCTGTTTTCCAAGCAGTACCCCTCCCGTGATGGAGCCTCCCTCCCTGGAAGGCAATCTGCATCAGGAGAACAGAAACCCAGAACCTCTCCCAGATCATTGGGACACCAAGTTGGAGCCAGTCCCACAGTGGGAGGGTGGGAGCGGCAGAGCCCTTTGAACAGGGCTCCCTCCAAATGAAGGCTGTATTAGCCCTCCAGGTGTGTTCCAGAATGCCCCAGGTGGGCATATCCATCCCAGGACACAGGCCCCTTCCCCCCTCTGAGCCCCTTTACCTCACCATGACGTCTGTCTCAAAGACTTGCACATCACAGTCCACCGCCTTGTGCAGTGACATGAGGGTGTTCTCGGGGGCCAGCTGGAAAAAGGAACGGTGTTAATGCAGAGGGCATGGGCAGGACGGGGCAGGAGGCAGGCACTCACCCTGCCTGGCTGCACCCAGCAGCTTGGCTCGGCTCTAGGGCAACCACAATGAGACTGGGGTGATCCTGGCACAGTGGGGGATGGAAAAGGAATGGGAACAGCCAGCCAGAGCCTGCTTCATCCCTGCTTCCCAGCCCACACTACACAGTCAGGCTTTATGCTGAGAGTTGCATCTCCTGGTCCAGCAGTGCTCAGGAAGCAACCCCCCTCCTCACCCTGAGCTCACCCATCCTCCAAGCCTGAGTTGCTCTGGCTGCTGTGGGGACCCTGCTCTGCTGGGCTGGCCAGAGCTCATCCAGAGCTGTGGCAGCAAGGATCCAGTGCCCCATGGCCAGGCTGTCACCGGAGCAGCCTGTCCCATCCACCCTGACCACTGCCAGGGAGCTGGTGGTGCTGGTCACTCACCATGGGTGCTCCTCGATGGCCAACCAGGGCTGGCTTGGGGGGCAGCTGGTTCTCCTCCATGAGACAAGGGGAGGTGATTCCCAGGGGAGCCAGATACAGTGCAATCATCACCGTGCAGTACATAAGCAGCAGAAACACCTTGAGACCTGCAGGCAGAGGCAGAAGATAGAGAGAGGGGTGAGGTACAGAGGAAGTATTTTGCAGGCTGTTAGGAATAATCCAAGGCTGCTTCACCTGGCATTAACCTGTGATTGCCCTTGGTCAAGCACTGTATCCCCAGCCACAGGAACACTGCAGGTTTATTCTTGGCCCACTACATGTCCTTGCATCCCAACCCAGCACTTCTGGGTCTGCCACCCGTACTCTCCTCCAGTTGCAAAGCAGTGAGGGCTGAAGCTGCACCAAGGGCTGTCTCAAAGACTTGCACATCACAGTCCACCGAGAAGAAGCAACCAAGAGCAGGTATGACCACCAGACTGAGAACTGCAGGCCTGATCCCATTGCACCAATGCTCTCTGACCACCACTCTGCCAACTGTGCTGCTCAGTTGGGTGTCAGGCAGTGGGGCACCAGCTGAGGGGGAGTGTGGAGACCCTGGAGGGGGTTACCTGTATTGCGGGTGCGGTACACAAAGCTGGCCAGGGGCCAGGCAAGGAGCGTCATTCCCCCCACGACTCCAATGTGCAGGAAGGGACCTGTTGCCTGGGGAGACAAAGGCAGAATGTCAGCCAGGACCAGACCAGCCCCTGTCCCCAAAATACACATGGCTCCAATGCCAGGGATCTGCCACTGCAGCCAATACCACTGGAAGTGCCAGCGAGGGAAGGACAGGCTCCTGCATGGACTGCACAGACCCCCTGCTCTGCTCCAGCCACCACTCATCATCCTGATGGGCAGCTGCTCCAGGCAGGACTGCAAGAGCAGGAGCAGCACTCTGCCTGGCCAGGCAGCAGAAATCAAGGGTAGGAAGCTTATCCCCATTGCACAGAGCCATGCTGGGGGGTTCAGTAACCACCCTTCAGCTCATCACCCCCCCCAGGCCGGGTACTCAGTGCAGTGGGGGAGTCTCTGGTATCGAGGTGACTCACCTGCAGAGAGATACGTGCACTTCTCCACTCCTCTGCCCACTTTATTCCCAGCCCTGTGAAGGCTGCAGCCACCACCAGGGCAGTTAGGATCAGCAGGATCTGTGGGGCAGTGCACAGGGCAGTTAGGGGAGCACAAGCATCCTGCAGGACAGCTGCAGTGCAGGCAGAGCCTTCCTCATCCCTTCTTCATCAGCCCTGAGTCTCAACACCCCACTTCCTCCATCTGGGTTTGCAGCTGAGCTCTGCACTCCATGCTCTGAGCAATGGGAATATTCCCATCCCAGAGACATGTGGCTGAGGAACTAACAGCTGCAGCTCAGCTCAGCGGGGACACACGGCCACTCAGTGGGGTCACAGCAGCCATACACAGCCTCAGCAGGCTGGTCACAGCTTCTGAAGGTGCACGGGCAGCCAGGGCAGGCAAATCTCCCTCCTCCCCCAGTCTCTCACCTTGTGCAGCCAGTGGAGCTTCAAGGGCTGGCCACAGAGCTGCAAGCACAAAGCAAGGACCTGCGAGAACAAGAGATGTCAGAGCTGGGCTCTACCCCACACCTCAGCCCTCGAAGGGCACAGGACTCAGCCACAGGAGCTGTGTTCCCATGGCACAGGTCAGATGCTGTGGGCTCCTCCTGGCCCCACACAGGGCATGGTATCCAGGCTGTGCTCAGCACACATCCATACCCCCACCAGCGCAGGTGGGACCAGCAGGGCTCACCAGCAGCACAGATGAGTAGGTGATCAGCACAGCCGTAGCTATGAGCAGGACCAGGGACCAGTCGAGCCACAACTTCCTCTGTTTGAAGATGAACCTGCCAGCAAAGGGGACCATAAGAGGGGCAGGGGTGACATGGGGAACAAGGCTGGATGGGGGGTCCTACTCACTCGTTGAAGTTGTGGAAATCATTGAGGATGATGATAGCGAAGTAGAGCCACACCAGTGTGAAGAGGAAGACGCAGAAGAGGAAAAGGAACCAGCTGCAGTCACACTGAAAGCCAGAAATGACAGCTATACACACACCTGTAGGGCACCTGCCCCTAGTCAGGCTGCTGAGACCCCTGGGGAGCACCCAACCAGCAGCAGGGAGCACAAGGGGTCTCAGCAGGCACTGGCCCAGGGGGACAGGCACTGAGCTGCCCCATGGACAGGGACCAGAGCTCCCCAGAAGAGCTCTTTTGGCTGGCTCCATGCTGCAGGAAGATGGACCAGTATCTCTTACAAGAAGCTAAAAAGCTGCCTATGCCATGCTGAGGAGGATGGCTCCCTCAGCAAGACTGTCTCCTTTCCCATGCAGCATTCCCTGGGGGCAGGCTGGGACTTTGGATATGGGAAGGGGCAGGGAGCCAGATCCCATTCCCTTCTAGCTGGGTGATCTGTGGGCTGGGCAGAGAGGGGCACAGAGCCTCAGAGCTGCCATGGTGAACCTGCAGACTGCTCCTGCCTGCGTGGCTGAAGCCAGGTCCAGCTCCATGGTCTCCAGCCCCTAGCCCCACATGTGCAGGGAAGTGAGGGGTGCCACAGGTGCTGAGAGGGACACCTGACAGCCCAGACCTGTTTGTACATTCCAGGCAAGACAGGACACGCAGCAGCACAGCCACTCCCATGGGAGTCGGAGACCTCAGAGAATCCCAGGGCCTCGCCACTCCCAGGTTACAAATTGGTGGGGACACCCTCCCGGTGGGGGCCACTCCCAGCCCAGGAACTGTGTCTCCCACGTGCCTGGCCAGGAGCCCCAGGACCTGCTGCCACATTCAGCCCTAGGGCTCTGTTCTGCTCCAGGCACGTGTGAGCCCTGCCACAGGTGCACACTCTGCTGCTCTGCCCTTCTTGTCACCCAGTGGGAACACACAGCTCACCCTCTCGCCTTCTCACTGCTCCAGGCCAGGGCACTCCCTGGACAGAGAGGGTGCCAGGTAGCACCCCAGCTCTCTCAGGCTCAGCCCTGGGAAGCAGGAGCAGTGGCAAGAGGTCAGCAGGGCAGTGTCTGGGCTGAGCATCCCAGCCAGAGCTCTTCCCCAAAGGGGCTGGCTAATCCCAGCTCAGCATCACCTTGGTGGTTCTCAGGCCCTTCCTCTTCTCCTTCTTGGCAGTGATCCACCGGCAGCTGTAGGGGCAGAGCAGGCAGGTGGCACAGGCAGCACAGCAGGCAGGGGGGTCTGCCATAGCATCAGACTGTCCCACAGCAGAGGTCAGGTGTCCTGTGGGAGATACAACACAGTGTGTTGACAATGACCTCCCAGCACACACCCCCGTGGGGATGGGGCACTGAAGCATTCTGGCTCCAGGTACCCTGGCAAGTGGTCCAGAGCCCTGGGGCACAGTGGGGCTGCTGGATGTGTTCCCAGGCAAGGCATGGTGCCAGGGAAAGGAGAAGCACAGGGTGCAGCCCAACCAGTTCAGCAGGCTGCTCTGGGACCCTTCACTCAACAAGTTAAAGCAAGCCTGGAGATGGCAGAGAGCAGAGCCTGCTCCCCAGCCCAGGGTTCAGAACTCCTCCTGGGAGCCAGGATCACTGTGCAGGCTCCAGGGGCTGTCAGCCTTGCCAGCTGGACAGAACTTTGCACCCAGACCCCCCAGCTGCAAGGACCGTGCATGCCACAGCCTGGGGCTTCTGCTGTGCAGCTGGGGGTACGTGCAACAGCCTGGAAGTTCCTGTTCTGTTCCCTAAGCCCAGGTCCTTGCTGATACAGCACCATCCTGGCAGCCCTCTAGCTCAGCCTGCACAGCAAGGAGACCCCAATGGGGCTGGAGGAGCTGTAACTGAGCAGGCACTGGTTGGTTGTTGGTCCAAGCACTACGGGGGATGATGTGGGTGAGAATCAGTTATGGGGGGGAACCCATTTCTACAGTCACAGAGACTCAGAATGAGTGTGGGGCCACTACTGAGTCCTCCAAACACTGTGAAAGGGAGAGGGCCAGGATGCTTTGCTGTGATCTCCAGATTCCTGGTTCCTAGCCCCAAACGAGGTCTCCCTGTATCCACCCTGAGAAACCTCATGTCTATTATTGCTTGCCCTGCTGTGGAGCTGCTCCTCCTCCTCATCTCAACCTCCCCAGCAGGCCAGGCACCCTACACAACACTATCACCCTGTGGATTCAACCAGACTCTCATTTCACTGTGACTACTGAGCCAGGCATGAGATCCAGCTGACCACATCCTCCCAACCACATCCTCTCCAGTAGTGGGGTCACTGGTGCGCCCAGTAGAGCCGTGTCCCATTCCAATCTGGGCTGTGGAGAGAGGGAGCAGAACTAGCCCAGGTCCTCCCAGGCCCAGCCAGCCAGACCAGAGTGGTTCTGCCATGCCCTGGTCTCCCCTGTAACAGGGCAGCACTCTGGACTGTCCTCTTGCTCCCAAATACCACCATTATGTGCATCTCCAGGGCTGGGGCACAGAGTCTTCCTCAGGACCCACCCAGACCAGTGGCTGCTGGGGCACACACAGGCAGGTACCAACCCGAGAGCAGGACCCCCAACCTGCCCAGTCAGCTTCTGCAGGTGGGGAGGTCAGGGCACTGCTATCAGCTGGTCCAGCCAGCCAAAGCACAGAGGATGCTGAGCAGCACAGCAGTGCCCCACATCCACTGCTCCTCTACCTTCTAGGGACCAGATCAGCAGCCCCTTCTTGATGCCCAGGAGCTCTGGCTGAAGGCTCATACCCCTGCTGTCACCAGAAGCGGAGCCATCACTTCCATCAGGGAGCAGTAGGCTCAGCCAGCCTCTGCTGGGACTCACCCTGTTCCCTGCCACGGGTCACACTGGCCAAGTACCAGTGCCAGCAGCTGATGGCTGGCACCCACGCAGGGTACAGAGTACAGTAGGAGTGGCTGTGGGCAGCAGCTGTATTTCAATGCTCAGCTGCTCCAAGAGACTGTCACTGCCAGGACTGGAGCCTGGCAGAGCAGTGGCACAGGACTGGCCACAAATCCACCCCGGTGGTGCTGCTTGAAGGGAAAATGCCGCCCTGTTCCACAGCTCCAAGTGGAACTGCAGCAGTGGCATCAGCAGTTATGGTGTGACACCCCTGTACAAGGTCCCAGACAGAGCTGGGCTAGGTGCTCAGCAGACCCTGCTCAGCTTCTGCTCCAGCTGCTACGGGAGAGCAGCAGATTGGGAGCCAGGGGTACACCAGTGCTGGAAGGACCCCTCCTTTAGCTCTCACCTAACAACACCCACAACACACCCACAGCCTGTGGGAAGCACAGGGGACTTGAAGGGGTGACAAACTCATTGCTACAGTCATCTACACGGCAGATCGTGCCTGCAACCCTGCAAGGACCTCAGTGCCCCAGGGGTGCTGACACAGGACAACCAGGTGGCCACGGGCAGGACAAGATCCCCTTGCCCTGGTGCAGCCGAGCCAGCCCAGGCTGTGTGCCACCGGGCAGGTCAGCAGGAGCTGATGCCGAGCCTCGCCGTTCTCTTTCCTCACAGGAGGGAAGGAAGAGCACGATGGGCTCAACATGAGCAACAGGGTAGCCCCCAAACAGCAAAAGCAGCACAGCCTGGCCCAGAGCCCCCACTCCCAGCCTCATGCCCGGATAGTTTGCCCTGGGCTCCCCATTCCCGCTCTCCAGAGCGTGGGAACAGCATGGGCAACCCCTTTCCTTCCCCCGCTCACGTTGAGGCACGGGCAGGACGATCACCCCCCCGTGCCGCTCTGCCAGCTCTCCCTGAGCAGTGCGGGACAGCATCCCCACGGCCGGGGCCGCCACCCCGGGGCCAAATACCTGCTCCCCGCCGACGTCGGGCTCCAGCAGCTGGGCCTCCGGCGGGCCAGGTGAGCGCGGGGCTGGGCTCTGCCGGGGCCCATGCGTGGCAGCGCCCCGCTCCCGCTGAGCTCACACCCTCCTGGGTGTGCCCGTGGCCCGGCCGCGGCAGGTCCGCACAGGCCGGCAGAGGCGGGCAGACTGCGAGCCGAGCCGAGCCGAGGGGGGCCGGGCTGGGGTCAGGGCGGGCCCCGCCGGCCCCGAGGAGAGAGGGGGAAGGGGCCCGGGGGCCGTCACGCGTCGCGGCGCAGAGGAGTTTGCAGGCAGCCCACGTCCAGGCAGACGGAGGCTCCGGGGAGAGCGCCCGGGAGATGCAGATGGAGGCAGAGCTTCGTGCACAGCCGCGCTCTCGAGCGAGGGGCTGTGGGAGACCCTCTGCCTTCCTTGCAGAGGATGCCCAGGACAGACGCATCCCGAGCCACCACAGTGGACATTCATCAGGGCATACTTTGAAGACAGAAGTAGAAGTGGTTTGTTGCCTTAAGCCAAGGAAAATGCTTCAGAATCAACACATCCAAACTTTGCTAAAGCAGCAGATTGACAGGAGGCTCCAAGACAGACCTGATGTCACCTGCAGATAGGTGGGCTGATGCCTTCCATCTCCCCACTCCCCTCCCTGTGGCACAGCACAGCTGTGTCCCCCCCACCCTCTGCCACAGGTCTCAGCAGAGGCACAGCCCCTGGTGAGCCAGAATGGACCACGGGCACTCAGATCTTTCTGTATCACTGACTTGATCCATCATTGCCTGGGATCTCAGGGGACCCATGTGATTTGCCACTTGCAAAGGAGCTGAGAAAGCTGATTTACAGGGAGGTGGTGCCATCCTGCAGTGACATAGAAACTGCCAATTTAGGCAGAAGCCTCAGCACTCAGTCCCCAGCTGATCCTGTTCCACACTACTATTAACAGCTTTGGCACAACTCATTGAACAGCTCTATGAAATGTGCTGATTAAGGCCTTATCACTGGAGGTCTGGAGCACTGCAAGAGAGGTTGTGCTGTAACACTCATTGCTCTGCACCCAAAGGAGTAAGCTGAAAGCATCGCTATTGCCAGGAACACCCCTCAGACGAGCAAGCAGCCCTGACCCCAGAGTTTGGGAGCTGTGAGCAGGTAGCACTGAGGTTCATGTCCTGCATCCACATGCTGTGCCAGCTCTGACACAGACCAGCTGCACAGCAGAGCAAACCTGTGGGCATGAGTCTTCCCGGTGGACCTGTGCCCATTTTATGGGATTGAAGATCCACTCTTAGGGAATTGGGTTGCAGGTTATAAGGAGCTGAAGAAGTGAGCACTGAGGGGGGATGAAGGACCCCTTAAGCCAAGAAACATCTTAGGCGGCGGGGAGGGAAAACCCAAGCATGAATAAAGAGACCACGGTGATACTGGAGAAGGGGAGATTGCAGCAGAGCTCCAAAAAAAAAAAAAAAAAAAAAGCTGCGGATTTCAGGCGTGCGAGGCAAAATTCACGAGGGAGGCACCGCTTAACCACGCGCAGATGGAGCAGGGGGACTGGCGGGGATCTCCCCGGGTGTTGGTCACCGTCTGACCGCGCCGGGCAGGAGCCGCGGGGGGAGCCCCATCCAGGGGGCTGCAGCGCCCACCTCTGCCCACCAGGGCTCAGGGCCGGGCGGTGCGGTCCGGAACGGGCTGTGCAGAGAAGGGGAGCGGCGGAAGGGCCGCTATTCCGTTTTTTACCCCCGGCAGGAGGGAGCCCTGTGGAAGAGGAGGAGGATGGGGGGTCCGCGCTGGGGACGGGCACGGGGGGAGAGGGCGCGGCAGTGCCGGGGCGTGGCCGCCAGGGGGCGCCCTTGGCCCGCTCTGCCGCCGCTCCCGCGGGAGCGCCCGAGGGCAGAAACGAGTTTGGGGTGAGAATAAGGGACAGAGCCGAGTTTGGGGTGAGAATAAAGGACAGGTCGAGCTTAGGGAGGCGACACCGAGTCCATCACACTGCCATAAACACGGTCATCCCAGGCATGCACTGCCCTGCCCGCCCAGACACTTGTCTGATCGCCGGGAGCCAAGCCACAGGTGAGCAGTTAAAGCAGTTAAACCAGAGCGCATCATCGAGCTGGCTTGGCTCTAGCACAAACTCAGAAGCGCCTGAGTTGGTCGGGAAGAAGACAAAATAATTCCTGTCAAGACAGTTTGAGTGAGCTCATGCAGTTGAATGAGCTCATGCACAACATCAAGTCTTGCGTTGCTCTAAGTGTGGTTTGTGTCCTGCCTTCACTTGTGAAGCCTCATCTGTGAGTGTTCTTTTAAATTACAGGAAAGCCGTGAAAACAAACACGGAGAGGAAAGGTCTGAGTGAGCAGGCAAAGTTGTCTTGGTATATTACAGTTCAGCTGAGGTTGTCTCCTTAGACTTGTAACTTGGGGAATAGAGAAGGTACTTTGAACACATGGAAGTGACTTAATGGTTTTGTGTTAGGTTCTTGTTTGTCAGCTGAACTGACATCACACACTAGCCTCTTCAGAAAAAAAAAATGTAAGCCATTGTTTCAGTTACTTCTGGTTTTCACTAAACTGCATGTAATCTACAAGAAGTACTGCTTTTAAGTTTGGCTATTCTGGGGGATGTTCTCCCTTCATATCACCTCCCATAGGACTCAAGACCAGGAATAAAAGAAGGCAATACAGATTTCTGTAACCATTATTTCACACACTTTCAGTTTGTAATAGACAACAAAAATTCAGTGTCACCATTTCTCTGCTGTCAACACTTTAAAAGCCAGTGTCCCAGACTGTCCTTCCACCCCAGATAGCAGCTGACCTACATAAACTGATAGACCAAGGCAGAGCTCTCTCCATCATGAACCTAAAAATCCCTACTTGCTGCTCATCTACAGTAATATAGAATTTGCTACATTTTGAAGCTGTCTTGCACAGGCACATTAAGCAATTAAGTTGTTTGAAAGAATTAATCAGAGAATAAACTGCTTACTTAAGGGAGGGTATACGGTCACGGCACTCAGTGATTAGGTTTACTTTTTCCTAAAGGCCAAAAGTATATAAAGAATTAAAGGATGTGATGAACAAGCTTTGAATCAGATTCTACCCCCCAAGGAAGTGGACTAGTTAAGGAGATCATGAATGAAGATTGTGGGAGTTTTATTCATAATGAGAGAAACCTCTGTGGATGACTGTATTTATTTCAGCTCTCATCCCAGAGTTTGTATGATCCAAGGCAAATCACTTGACCTGAACTTTTCACGGGTGGTCCTTATAGTTTTCATTTCCTGAGTATTGAAAACAGCATGGGCTGGATTTTCAGGAGTGCTAATCTTTAACTGTTGTAATTGAGATCAGTGATGGGAGCCCTGAGGATCAAATGCTAAAGAGTTCAAGCTGCACAGTAACAGCAGGTCTCAGGTTGGGCACTGTACCAGTGCAGTGTTTAACCCCACTGTTTTCAGAGGAATCCAACACCCCTCAAGGGTTTATGGAGATACATTTATTAAGGTACAGAGAACACAGCTTTTACAGATCATAGGATGGCCTGGGTTGGAAGGGACCTTAAAGCTCATCTCATTCCAATCCCTTCCCATGGGCAGGGACACCTTCCATCAGACCAGGTTGCTCCAAGCCCCATCCAACCTGGCCTTGGACACTTTCAGGGATGGGGCAGCCACAGCTTCTCTGGGCAACCTGTGCCAGGGCCTCACCACTCTCACAAGTAAAGGATTTCACCTTAACATCTAATCTAAACCTATTCTCTCTCAGTCTGAAGCCATTCCCCCTTGTCCTGCCACTCCATGCTCTTGTAAAAAGTCTCTTTCCATCTCCCTTGGAGGACACACCCAGGTACTGAAAGGCCATGATAAAGTCACCCCTGAGCCTCCTCCAGGCTGAACAATCCCAACTGTCTCAGCCTTTCCTCATAGCAGGGGTGCTCCATCCCTCTAAACATCTTCATGGCCCTCCTCTGGATCTCTCCAACAGATCCATGTTGTCCCTGTGCTGGGCACCCCAGAGCTGGAGGCAGCACTGCAGGTGGGGCCTCACCAGAGTGGAGGAGGCACAGAGTCACCTCCCTCACCTGCTGCCCACTCTGCTTGTGATGCAGCCCAGGACACAGCTGGCTCTCTGGGCTGTGACTGCACAGTACCAGCTCATGTCCAGCCTCTCATGCACCAGCAAACCCATGTCCTTCTTGGCATGATAAGCAAAAGGCAGTATGTTCAGTAAGTTTTATACTACACACATACAGTTAGGAAATTATTTTTTGGGCACAGTGTCATGTCATATCTAAAGTTGAAAAAAAGAACTCAAGCAGACAATTTCTGCTTTTATTAAAACAAAAAAAAGTTAATCAAATGCTGATATTTATGTCTGAGACCTGGCCTGTAAGACTTACATGCTATACTTCATTCATGTTTTCAAGGACTGAGATATTTGTGTTTGTTCAGATGTAGCTCTTTTCTGTTTGGAACTTGAACTAGTTTAGAATTTGAAGATGTTTATCATTTGTCATTTCCTTATTGCCTTATTGCATACTTAACTGAAGTCACACAATAACAAACTGAAGGCAAATCTTAAGTAGTACATTAAAGAGGCAGCAGAAGGGATGCTCACAGACTAACATGCAATTTTGCATCTTAAACTAAATATTTTTGTGTTTTGCATAATCTGTACAAAGGAAGTCAACTAATTTAATTATGGCACAACTGTTTTTCTAGTTAATTTCTTTTATAGGGATAGTTAACTTTACTAGAAGTTAAGTTGTAGGCATAACTTACTAAATGGGGCAACACTGATGTTCTGTAGATCTGGTTCCCCTTGAAAAGCTGCATTGAAAAGCTCTTGACCAGAGGTCTGTGTTATTTTCAGACCAATTTTGTTTTTTTCCAGAAAAAAACCCACAACATTTGGCTTGTCAATAAAACATTTATCTTCTACTTACTTCTATTAGTTCTACTACAGAAACTTTCATATTTAGTGCCTTTTTTTAGTGTTATTTACTAATTTTTAAGGCAGACCTTTAGTTCTGCACTAGGATAAGCCTTTACTGTGGAGTTTTTGCTCCTGCCACATCTCTAATTTCTGTTCAGAGTTAGTTACTATAGAGCAGCATCTCCCCTCTCCCCTTTCAGGATGTAAAAGCAGCTGCAAAATCACTGTGTTAAGGTGTGCTGTGGGACACAGCATTTATTTGTTGCTCAAGCTGACTTTTCCTCGTTGTTTGAGAAGCCTCCCATGAAGTCATTAGCACTCACTGATAGTACTGTTCAGCCACATACTTTTTTACAGCATTACCGAGGAGCTAGCAGCTGCCTAGATAGGATAAAACCCTGCCCCAGCATTCATGTCACAAATGAGCTTAAGCACTTGACAAAGAGAAGCTCAACTCTCACACTGTAACAAGGACACATCAGGATACAGCCCGAGCTCCAAAGCACCTTACCTGTAAGTGCCTGCTTTGTAGTCAAGCGTTGTCACAGCCAGGGGTTCAGGTCAGTCCTCGCTCAAGGAGTGCCCCTTCTGATCCCCTGCAAGTCTCACCATTCATAGGATTCTATCCTCTCTCTAAGTCTGGGCAGAGAGAACACAGTCCACTTACATGCCTATTTTACTATCACTTTCCTATTCCCAGAGAGCTTATTTGAGGATGAATAACAGTTCTGCATTGCAACATGCTACAGTCAATAGTATTACTACTGTATTTGTAGCACTACTGTATTTTTCCTCTTAATATCTGAAGTTTGTTATTACACAGCTTCACAAAACTACTCTAGCCTATCCTGCAGCCTTAGGAGAAATAATTAATTATATTAGATACTCCTATGATACTCCTAGATACTCCAACTTTCCCACATGTGTAGCTACATTCCCCATTTTATAGTATTATTAGCTACTAGATTGAATATTAAAACTGAACAAACCCTACAAACCCAAAGCAAACCAACTAAAACCCACAAAAAAAAAGCACATCCCCCCCCCCTCCCCAACCAAGAAAAATCCCTGAATTAGCACACTTACCAGGCAGAAACAACTTCTTGTTTCAAGCACTCTTGTTTATATAAGCAGCAGCTGTTTGCCATTGCCAAATTTATAGGACCAGCCCCCCAGGGCTGTGTTAAGGGTCGGTTTATATAAAGGGCCCTTGGTAGGGAGTGGCCAGTAATGTGGTGAGGTTGTGGTGTTTGTGTGTCCTTAGGTGGCTGGTGGGGTAGCTGTGTTACAAGAAGGTCAGTATTGTAGTATTGTTAAAAAAGAAGCATTTTTTATTTATAAAGATAACACTTTGGGTCTAGAACAGTTAGTTTAACTTTATATGCTCACTGGAAGTATAATTTCCTAGCCATTTTCATTTATGACTTATTTTTTTTGTACCTACTTAGGGCCTTTTTCAGCTGTAAATATCTTTGGCTACAGGCTCTTCTGAATTATTTAATATAGGAAAAATATTGCAGTTGTTAAAGAAGAAAGGTTTTGGTAGCGTCTAACATCTATTTTCTTATTTAACTGTTATAAATACCTACTGTGAGTATCTAAAATGGCTCTGTTTTAGTTACTACTATGGGAATTTTCTTCTGACCCTTTAACTAGTACAGAGGGCTGTGTGGGATTTCTAGCTAGTGGTCTGCACTCTTAGTACTTTCTTCTGTATTTTCTCAGAACTGCTGTGTAATCAGCTATCTCTGGGGCTTAGTTTCTAGCTGCCTGTGGTTTCCAGTGTTCAGTATTTATGGGCAAAATACTTGTGTTTGAGGGCAAAGGTGCCTGCCTCAGACAGCCAAAGGTGTTTTTTGTGCAGTTGTGAGAAAAACATTTTCTTGGTGTCACATATTGGCTTGGGGGTGGGCAGGAAGGAATTTTTTTTTTTTCCATTGAATTTTGGAAAGCGTAAATTGAATCTCTTTTGGTTTGTATCCTGGGAGGCCTTCTTTGGATCCTGGCCTGCAAAAGACTCTTCCTACTTTTTCAGGTGAAGTGGTTGAGAGCATGGAGAGGCTTGATGATGTGTCTGAGCTGCTGTGATGAAGAGTCACCTCTAGAAAGCACAGCAGAAAGCTGTTGATTTTTTTAGTTTTCCAGTGACAGAAAACTGAGTGTCCTGTGGTGGTGGAGAGGCTCAACTCTAAGGCAGAACTTCACAACAGAAACCCCTTCCCACCTGAGGGACCTGCTGCAAGGGACTGGTTCTGGAGAAGTAGGGCTTGGTCGTGAAGCTTGTGCAAGGAAAACGCTCTCCAGGCTTGGTGTTTCTCTGCTGTCAGCTTGAAGTGGCTACACCTGCCTGAACCTTTAGAATAACTAAAGGCCCCTTCCAATGAGCAAAGTGGGATTGTATTAGCAGCTTAAGTGATTTGTACTGTAGTGTCTTGAATCTGTGTGTGCCTGGGGGCTATCTCTGCTGGAGGTGCATTCTTAGCTGTTTGCGAAATGATTTTCAAGTAGGCATGTATGTGATATTTTCTTTTAAGCTTATTAGCTTATCTTGAAGCCCCACCAGCTTGCTCCTACTAAGTCTTAATTGGTGATTGGAAATAGTAGAACAAAAATCCTACTTCTAGGTTGTCCTGCTGTTGAGCCAGCAAAAGCTTCACAAATTCAGGTGTTACCAAGACCAGATAAATAGCAACTTTAGAGGTAGTGATGCTTAAACTAGGTGTATATATTTGTGGCTCAGTGGATTCAGGTGTGTGGGATATATAGGCAGGAATATGACACTAATGCCTACCTGTAATGAACTTCAGGTGTAATTTTATTGCTTATCTATATCAACAGATTGAAGTATTATAAGCAATTCATCTATTATTTGAATGTCTCTTAAAGGTGCTCTTTGAGCTTTCTGAAGTGTCACCAGCTTTGAGTTCTGCCTTGGCTATTTATGTCTGTTTATTAGGTGGTCATTTGCCTATTTGGATTTGACTTCTTTTATTAGTGCTAATTGATGGCTTATCATGGATCAGTTTGCATCTAGGCATGGATTTGAGGAACTGGGTGATGTCCAAACATTTGCTCACTGTTCTGCTCTTGTACCTCCTGAATGGCAGTTGTTGCTTTGGTCCTTCCCCCCCCACTTTTTTGCATATGTTTCACTCAAATGCAAAGCTCGTGCAGTAACAGCTTGTCCACTTAAATGATGTGCCAATTGCTTCCCCCCACAATGTAGCTTATGATAAAATTCCCTTTTTTGCCTTTTTCTAAGTTATTCTTGGGCTTTGCTGATAAATTAAGTATTTTTTCCTGTGTCTAGAACAGAACATACCTTGCATGAGGAAATAAAAAGATTTGTGGTTCTAGTCTCCTGTCTTGCAGCAGACATGCACTAATACTCACGAAGAACTTGTAGGCATCCCTGTGTAGAGCTTGCTAGATAAGATAATTACACAGAGATTTAGTGTCTGTTTCTAGAACTTACCTTTATCTGAAGAAGGTGCTTGAGTGCTCAGCAGAGGTTCTGTTCTTGTTTGGCTGAACTGGGCTGGTCTGTCTGTGACTTACAAGTGCATGGTGAGTTTGGAACTTCTGATGTTGATGAAGAGAGCGATCTGCCTCCTTGATCGCTGCAGGGTGATGCTGGTAGGGGAGGATTTGTTTCATGAAGTCTTTAACTCCAGAGCTGGGAGAGAAAAGAAGCACACCTGGAAAAGAGTTTAAAAGAGCAAATCCTGAGAGGACCTTCAGTGGTTGAAATGGATACTGAGATGAAAAAATGCCACTCATAAGTTTGCAGCTGTCGTTGCAGACAGTCACAACTTGTCCCTGACTTCGTTAGAGCTATAGGATACAGAGGATACAGCTATAGGAGGAAGGTGATTGTTGCCTCAGGTACTTGCTCTTGCTTGCCTTGTCAGATGCAGTTACTGACAGATGGCTATGAGGAGCTGAGGATATGCCTAGCTCAGCATGAAGGGCACTTGCCTTGGCACTTGGGCTGTTTTGTCACTGTCAGTCTTTATTTCTGGGTTCTGCAGAGTTGTATAGAAGCAGAACAAGTCCTGCACGTTTTTGAGACAGTCCCCCATGTGAAGTCTGGCACGGGAGGAAATAAAACATGCTTGCTGGCAAAACAAAAGTGGTGAGGATGCAGGAGAATGTACTCAGGATGAATATGAATGGAACAAGCCTGAAATAGGGATGCAGCAGCGACTGAAGGTTAGCTGAGAGTTCTAGCTGGGTGATCAGATGTTGGGAATAAACCTGAAAAATGTAGATGGATGTTGCTGGGGCCTTGTGTCCAGGTGGAGTTGTGTGTGACACTGGCATTTTGAGGGTATTCTTAGCATTTTTTACCAAGAATGCTTTAACTTCTCAGATCAAGGCTCTTGGATAATTAACATATATCTAGCAGTTTGGAGGGAGTTACTTTAGTAACAGTGTATGTTGAGCTACTTTGTGTGCATTACGTAGGCGCTTTATATCATGCTAAATTCTGAATGAACCTTCCTGGGTGTAAGTCACTTGGTTAACAGAGCGAGTTAAAGTGACCTTTAATTCTGTGAGATATTCAAATTACCTTTTTCTGAAGGTGTTTTCCTTTGTGTGAAGCCTAGAGAAGTGCTGTGTTTACTATTAAACATATGTAAACACCATCAAAGAAACACCCCCAGCAAATGCCAAAACACACAGACAGAAAACCAAAACTTGCTGGAAATCTGTTGTGACATACGTGGAGGTGGCAGGTAACAGCCTGACTGCAAATGCTGCTTCAGGTGGTTTTGTCATTTCGAGTACATGGTTGTATTCAGTCACAGAGGGATGAAGCATTTGGAGTAGCTTCCTAAATGGCAGGGGACTGGAAACCCAGATGGTTCTTTCTGGCTCTTGGTTCATTTCCTACCCCAGTGTCTTGTGTTCATGAAGTACCAGAGTTGTCCTTTCCTGTTCCCTTTGTTTAAGTGCCTGCTTATCCCTTTTACAGACCTGTTGACAGAGAATACATTAAACTTTCCCTGCTACCTCTTGAAGTATAGAGCCTGCTTGTTCACCAGGCACCTCAAATCTGTTAGGTAGTTGTTTTTCACCTCTAAAGTTGTGTGTGCTTAAAGGCCAGGGCCCTAAAAATCAGTTGTACTCTGTTTGAGTGTACAGGAAGGAACTCACCTGAGATTAAATGGAACATGCAGTAATGTTTAGCTGGGAAATATATGCATTTATATATGCATGGCCAGTGATCAGAATGAAAACAGTTTCTGATATTAAAAATAAAGTGTTGTGTTGAGGAAACTTAGCTAGTTAATGGTGCTTCTGTATACAATCTGATACATGCAAATGAGGTTGCCAGATGGCACAAGACAAACTTGCATAGATCCTAGCAAAATAAATAACACTTTTTGCAGTGAAAGTCAACAACAAGCAGAAATACATATAATGCATTCCTTTACAGTAATAGAATATTCATAAACAAATAATAGATTCCAGGCTAATCTATCACTGCCAGAGGGAGGTGCCAGCATCTCAAGTATTGAAAAAACTTCTGTTCTTGGTTATTTAATTTTTCAATTCATCATTAAGCAATAAAATCAATAACTCAAACCCTCATTTGACAGAATTTGTAACCTTAGTCCACTCTACCTGAATAGAAGCCCTCTAAACAAGCATAGATAGAAAATTTCAGACATACATAACTAGAAAGTATAAGTAAACTTGGAGAACTTCCAGGGTCTTAAATTAAAGATCTAACAGACTGAGATACTTATTCCCTAGATATCTGCATCAAAAGGCAGATTATATTGGCTCTTCTGACTTTGAGAAAGCATTTGCTCCTAATGATGAAATGAAGTTTTTTTGTTATCCAAAGTTTCTGTACTTCAAAGAGCGGCGTGCATTATTCTTGCATTATCTCTTGATTGCACCTGCCTGGAAATTAACAGGTTGAAACCACTTAAAATTATATGTATTAGGGAGGATACTTGCTCAGATCAGTTATTAATCTGTTAAAGAATAAAGTATTTTGTATTAAAAATAATCCTAGGTAAAGTTAATTCCCCCCCCCCCCAACCCCCCCCAGTATGTGATAGGTTGGTGTAGCTTTTTTGGAACATTTGTGTCCTGGCTGATGCTGCTGGAAAGCTGAGCAAGATTGACACTGTTCTCCAAAATACTGGAGTGGCCTCCATGCAAGCAAGAGTAGGTTCTTGGGAAAAAGTGTAAGAATGAGAGAGCTTGGCTGACACCCCAGGGCTGGAGAGGCAGGAGCTCTGAGCCAAACTCAGAACACAGGAGAGCACTTGCTGTAGGCTCAGGTGAATTCTTCTGCAGTCAACCTCTAGCTGATCATTTACTCCTGTGTAGCCTGGACACCTGTTAGCAACTTTGTGAGATAAAATCTCTGATTAGTGGAGTTTCATCACACTGGGGACCTAACTCTCATAATTTATGAAAATAGTCACAGCATGTCAAGACTGACTAATTTGAATGGAAGGATTCCTGAAATGGAAATATATTTTGTGGTGGGAAGCTGCTGTGTTGAAGACCTTTACTAGGCAATTTTCCTGTTCTGGAGTCTGGTGTCTTAACACCAACTCAGTGTGTAGCTCTTACTGACAGTTGGAGCAGGATGATCTTTAATGTCTCTTCCAACCCAAGCCATTCTATGGTAAAAACTTCATGTGAGATAAACCTCAGGAACCTTCAATCAAACAAGTGTGCAGGCAATCCTGAGGGACTGTAGGGACCTGCCTGGGAGTTCAAGTACTGCTGGTACTGTGTCCATATGGGAACTGCAGTGTCAGAGGGTGGCTTTTTGGGAAGAATGTTACTAGCAGGTGCAGCCAAGTGTCCTGCTGCTGTGGGCAGATGGTGGTGATTCACTTCAACACCCATAGTAACCATTGGGGATGCAGGCATTATCTGGGATTCATGAGCCAGCAAATGACCAAGCATCTGATCTTTAAATCTGTTTAAATGCCTAAAGATCAGAGAAAATGTGCTTAAGAACAGTATGAATTTCTTAGTCACTGAAACCAATGAGACCAGTACCTTTTGGTGTCTTGGTCTAGAGACAGGGCTGTGCTTGTTGCACAGTACTGTGTTCTTTTCCTATGATCACTCTTTGAGACAAAGTGGTGCTTCTTGATGCTGTTCTCCTTGTCAGAGGCTGTCATTCTTTCTTTTTCCCCACCACGATGATGTGAGCATGGAAATCCAGAATGAGGTGTCAGCTGAATGTTACACTAATGCCAATCTAACCAGCATTGCAGCAGCTGTGTTGTGGTTTTGGTTTTTGGTGTTTTTTTTTTTTTTTTTTTCCTGGTTCCTGTAGGCAGCATGGTCCTAGAATCATTTCCCTCGGAACAGCCTCTGTACCTGTGTTTTTTCCCCTCTGGGTAAGTAAAGATCCTTAAGATAATCCTTACCTTCCACTGGAGTAGAAATAATTGCCAGCACTACATAGTGGCTTTCATGCTAAAACTGCATCTCTCTTACACATGTGTATGTTATACACCAACGAGCATTGTTTCCTGTGTAAGTAGGCAGTGTTGAGGGTC